TGATATCATAAAAGAAGCCGGCGAAGTTTGATATGGTGTTTACTTATGACACAAGACAATTTCTGTACTATCAGTCAATTTTTCTTTTTTAAAAATTTTAGTAGACTTGTTTTACGTTCTATATACGAAATTCGAAAAATAATCTCTTTTTGTGTGTATGATGAGATATGAATTGATGATTGATACAGTAATAATTGCGTATGATAATTAAGAAATAAAAGGGAAGATTATCCTGACCGGAAAAAAGAAGGGGAAGAACATTGGCATGGAAGTTGGTACGAAAAAAGAATATGCTTAGGGAAGGAGGAGCGGGGAGTGAGCCATACACACACGGAGTGGTAGGTGGGGCGTCCGCCGCCGACAGAGGCGGCGCCGTACATTAAAGGAAGCAGAGTGGAGTGTTTTGTGGCTCTCACCACCTTGGCTTAAGAAGTGGCAGCATGGGGCATGTTCACGAAAATATCTCACATTATGGTATTTATTATTATTTGTTAGAGTTTTAATTATTTAATCTACGTAATTTTAGTTTGATTACATTCAAGTCCTCCGAATTTAAGTCAATGCAACTCAATCTTCAGTAAATACATAAGATAGTATGAAATGTTCTTAAAAAAAAACTTCATAAAATTATTTAACTGGAACTTTTCATTAATAATATATTCAAGGATTTGGTTGTTGATAAGCAAGATATTATCGTGCAATTCATGTCATTGATGTAGATAAATCTTTTTGTATAATTACTATTTTGGTTTTAAATATAAAGACTAATTAGATACTATTCTAGTTCTAAATATAAAACCCATTTTATAAACTATAAAACTATAAAATTCTATAAAATAGATATTATATTTAGGATTAGAAGAAGTATTTAATTTGGTCATATATGTAATATTTTAATTCACCTTATCTTTTATATTCATTTTTTCTCTCTAAGTAGTCATCATAATAATTGTATATATTAAAAAGTTTTTATTATAATATATATAATTAATAAGAATATTTTAAGAAAGGCAATATATATTTATTACAAATAACCAATTTAATTAATTTTTTAATATTTATAAATTAATTATTTAATTATTATATTAAAATAGTACTCCTCCAGTTCTTAATATAGAAACTAATTATTAAGTTAATTTTGGTTCTAAATGTAAGACTTGTTTTTCATATTTATCAATTTTTTTAAATTACTCATATGGATACTCTCTCAACTATAATCAAGTAAATAGAAGAGGAAGGATATTAAGAAAGATGATTATGGTATTTTAAGAAAAACGTATTTTATTTTTTTATAATTAACTAACTTATCTAATTTTTTAATTTAATCAAATTAGTTAAATAGGTTTATATTAAGAAGATGAAGAAGTAGTATTAAATATTTTTGTATTTTGAATAAAATAATATATATTTTTTGTTTGATAGCCTACATAGATGACATATCTACGATCCTAGATGTGCCCTCTGGTGGAGGCGTTTGCAGGGAGAGCAGGATATCTCACCAGAAGTCACTTTCAAAGCTCTTATTATTAATGATAGATTGATTCATTCCAATCAGTTTTCTATTTATAACATCTTCCCATTTATTCACTTGCTGCTCTTCGCCCTGCAAATGCTATCTCCATTTTCTTTCCCTCCTCTTTTCCTTTATGTAATTATGTTAGGAGAAAAGATTATTGGCATTGTCCTTGTTAGCTACTAGTGTTTAGTATGCTTGATGAAAAAGGATAAACTTTTTTCACAAACAAATTTAGATATCTAATATTTGCTAGATCACTATTTTGAAATGTAACGATAATAATGACCATGATAATGATGTGCTATTACTTCTCCTATTCTTAAATGAATTAGGCAGATTACTAAAATTAAGTAAATTACTTAATTTTAACAATGTTACCTAATTTTTTTAAAATATTCATATATAATATGAGATTTTATGTGAATTTATAAATTAAATAAATTAATTTAGGACAAAAAATAATTACGATTTTATATTTAACATAAGAAGAGTATGATTTTTCTAATAGAAAATTTAATGAATAATTAAATGAGTAATATTTTTTAATGAAATGAAAATGTGAGATACGAAGGAGAGAGGGGGAGACAATAGAATCCGGAAGAGAGAGGAAGGGAGAGATATGATGTGAAAGAGAAGAAGGGACCAAAATTTGGAGAGAAGACATGAAATGAATAAAAACAAGTCTCAATCCATAAGCAGTGGTTTTAAGGCCACCAAACCATTCATAGCCCTAATAATTCCAACCAACTAGCCTGTCCTTCCTCCATGTTTACTGTTTTTTTTTTTTTTTTAATTGAAATGTTTAATGGCTAGATGGGACTTCAATGTATTTGTGAACATGTATTGTTGAATATAATGTAAGTATAAAAATTTGATCTCTAAATATAAATTTTTTTGTTACATTTTTATCTTTAGTTCTCTTAATGAGGCTTATAAGAAACTTTTTCAAGCTACAATATGGTTTATTTCACCATTCAATGGGTTGCGTCAAATGACATGCTTTTCATTTAATTTGGTGTAACTGGACTTGTTCAAATTGTCCAGTTTTAATGGGCTAGTTTTTTTTTTTTTTAATTTTGTACTCACTTTATTTGGTTGAATAAATTGTGTGTGTGTATATATGTTAAGAGAGGGTAAAAATATTATTAGATAATTGAGTTAGACTCTATAAATCGGGTCTTAGTATATAGGTTAAGGGTGTGAGATAATGTAATTTTCACCATAAAAAGGAAAGGTTAACTTGGGTCTCCTACCTCAAGAATCCTCATAGGTTATGGAATTTGTTCATCACTCTTATGTAAGGGATGATTAGTGTTAATCCAAGTGGGTTACAATGATTGTATAAGCATGTGTTGTATCATGAATAATATATTTGTCTTCTATCTTTCTTCTTCTTATTTCTCTCAAATTCCTAAACTTAACAATATATATATATATATATATATATATATGTAAGGATGGGATGTTTTCTCAATTCTCAATACTCTTTTTCCTGGGCCAAGATACTGTTTATTTCATCATTAGGTGGATTTAGTCAAAGAACTATTATGAATTAAAGTAACATAATAATATAAGCACTAGCATTAGCCTCGTTTTGCCACCAAATACTAGCATCAGATAAATCTATAAAACGTAGATTTTATATTATGATTACTATTCAAATCAAACCGAGGATTTTACGAAATTAATACTACCCCCGGTCCTTAATATAAGATCTTATTTAACTTTTATTTTGATCCTAAATATAAGATTCCAATTCACTTTGTCTCTCATATTTATCTATTTTTTTCAAGATAGTCCTTCTAATCATGATAGTTTTAATTAATATACTTGATTAGCAAAGATATTTTAGGAAAGACAACACCTATTTATTATAAATAACTAACTCAACTTTTTTCTTAATCTAATCAAATTAGTTAACTAACTCTTATATTTAGGACCGAAGGTAGTATTAATTAATGATTAAGATTATTCAAATTTTTTGAAAGGATTGATTAAAAATTATTAAAATAATTTCTTACACACAATGTACTGTGAATTTCGAGTAGAGTCTTGAGCTATCTTATAAGAAAATAAAATTTCCCAAAATCTAGAGCTATCTTGGGAATTAAAGGCAAATTATATTAGAAATAAAACGAAATTACAAATTAGTCACAATGCTTATCCAAAGAAATTGTATACGGTATTATGCTGATTTTCAAAACTAAAAATAAAACGGTATATAATGATACCTGGCCGGTAAGCAGCCCATTGGTTAGTGAATAAGAGGCCCAGATGTTCTGGGCTATTTTGTTTTTAGTCGTAAAGCTTTTACTATAAATTCCTATCTGGGCTTTTTATTTTTCCGTCTTTTTATCATTATGTTTTCGTGTGTGGGCTTAACTGTTCGGACCCAAGCTTCATCACCCCCATTTAAGGGGAATTTCCGTACTCGTTTAGGTTTTTGTGCAGATGTATGGATCAAAGATCAATCCCGACGCTTATTTTATTTGAATAATTGTTTTATACTTGAGAGATTAAAACCAAAAGGGAAAACCATATTTGAGGTACCTGTATTTTTTGTAAATTTTCAATTTGGTACTTATGCGTTTTTTGTTCTTAACTAAATCTTTAATTTTGCTCAATTAACATCATTAATCTTTATATAGAGACTAAAAATGCCAATAGAACAAAGTTATAAGAGCTAATGTTGCTAAAATAAAATAAAATAAAATGTTTAATCAAGAGGAAAAAACACATAGGTACCAAATTAAAAATTGAAAGAAAGTAGAGGTACTTATGATATGGTTTTCCCAAACCAAAATGAAGATAAAGTTGAGAGATCAAATATTATATTAACCCAATTGTAAGTGATAATACTTTTCTTTTATTCTATGTTCTATTTTTTGCTTCGGCTAATTTAAAAAATTCATAATAAAAAATATGTATGTCAAATGAAATGGTTGTTGCTATCTGCTCACGTAACAAATCATTAGCTTGATTTAACAATTTTAGATTAGTGGAAAGAGTCAGAGGAATGTTTAGATTAGTGGTCTATTAGAATTTTTGCTTGAGTTCTCTCCTTTTTCTTAGTAGAGTTAATGTTAAGAAAGACCAGGTTAGGTTAGAATTTGATTCGAGAAGATTAATATATATATATAAATAACGATATACTAAAATACATATAAAGATAAATCTATAGTTAACGACACCTTTTATAAATCTGACACGTCGGCTAAACTAAAGGGTTTTCTTCTCTCTCCCTTCTTCCCGTAAAATTTCATGATGTTACATAATCTAAGTAGGTTCCTGAGAAGTGTATGATGATGGAAAGGCTCAAAATAATAGATTAGCTCTAATTTCTAACCCTACTTTGCGTGCCGGCCTCATAGATAGCCTCATTTAAATTATATCACCTATAATGATCTATTGCTTTTTCATAAATCTAGATTTAAATTATAGCATCAATTATATACTGCTATGCGACTATGGAAAATAACAGCACTAATACGTTTCATCTAAACTAATTATTACAAAGAAAATGAAAAAAGAAGGGGAAAAACATGCCAAAGCACAGAGTTGCAGCAGAGCGTATAATCGCCGCCACGTTATTTATCTAACTAAACATCCGAATTCAGATCCTTAAGGTACTTTAAGGAAGTAAAGTTAAAGAGAGATCAAAATAAATTGCCCCATGCCACCTCTGCACACGTGTATCTTAACAGGCATGAGGCCAATTTCTCCCCTCATAATATCTCTTTCTAACTTCACCCTAAAGTAATTTTATAAGATCCTTTTTACAAAAATATCCAAGGCTCACACCAAAACAAATGACAGAATCAGACATTCTCCTAAAGCTATAAGCCAAAGTCCTATAGAAGCTGAATCTTAGCCATGTACAGAATCAGCGCGAACATCCAAAAGAAGCTTCCTTGTAGAGTCGAGCTAGCTGATGAACAGCAAGGAAAAAGGAACAAAAGAATATATGAAACTTCCATGTGCATAATGTCCGGAAGGAAATTGCAGCATGTTATAATAGTTTCCAGAACAGTTTGCAATGATAGTTTTGCAAACTTCAATCTTGTTAGGGTTAATATTAGAAGGAACAAAAGCATTAGCGGATTAAAATCTACAAGATACGTCAGCTAACTGCTTTCAAAATGATAAACGCACCACACATCTGTCATGAAAATCAAGAAACATCAAATTTCTGATTTACCTAGTTAAGTTTTGCCTATCATAGTTCAGCAGCAAAAAGAGAAACAGAAAAAGGGCATATAATCTTTATGTATAAAAGAATAGAACACAATCTGCATTTAGGAAAACTTCTATGAAAACTTAAATGCAGACCCAGTTGTTCAAATTTGATCCTTACCGTTGTTACTGCTGTCCTGCAATGCTGGTGGTGGAGCACTCGATGAGTTTTTTAATGATATTCCTAGATCCTTGCAATCCATGCCAAGAGAACCTTCAAACCAAATTTCAACTATCTTATGTAGGGCAAAACGTGAGCCAAGGGAAGAAAGTTTTCCCTTTAATTCAATCATAAATCTCGAGCTCATATGCTAAGCAGACTATTGCATATTTGTAATCTTACATTCTTTGAAGCAAGGGAAGGCGGTCATATTGAGAAGATTGTAAAAGCCAGCATCGCAGACACAGCTGTAGGAGAACATTGATGTCTTGTTGCATGACCCGCCTCCACAATCAACCCAATGGCAAACTACATAATCATATGAAGAAAATTTTTATACTACGAAAACATAAAATGAAACAGAAAAGTGAGATCCATGAGCTCCAGCTCTCAAGTACCATCCAATATTGACCCGGAAGCATTTTTTGCTTTCTCTTGAGCAGGGGAAGGTGCGTTGGAGCATGAGTGTTCAAGACTACCTACAAAGCAAATCATACAAATATGTCGGCAACCCAGAAAACAAACAAAACTCCACCGAAAGATTATCAATCAAGCACATTCAAGAACTATATCACAATCAATCAAAGTTCACACGTTAATTTTTCATTGGACGTTAATTTGAACTCGCACATAAATATCATCTGGAGCTGCAATATCAACACCATTCTCTTCCTTTATTAGCAGGTCTGGGCAGCACCAGCTAGTTTACCAAAAAACAAATGAAACACACATTTCTAATATTTTGCCATAAAATTTAGTTCTCTGCTCTAAGAGATCCATGAGCAATTTGCAATCTCATTGGCCTGAAATCGTTAATTATCGGAAATCCGTTTAGGCAGTGTACTACAATTAATTGATTAGACTTCATGCTCTAAGCGAACTGCATGTATTCAAAGGCAAAGCTTGGGTGAAGTGTCACATAGCTGCAGAGTTCCTGTTTATGATTTTATGTGGGACCAGACTGTCTTAGGAATCAAATGAATCCTAATCCAAAATTACTTCAAATTTAGAACGCCTCACGTTTAGAATCTTATGCTTAGATCCTACTTCAATATCTCAATCAAAATATCACACATTTATACTTTCACAGGCTCCCTAGCATGTGAAAGCAGTCTCTGAGTCACAAGCAAGAAATGAATTTTATCTACGCAATTTCAAACCATTTGTCTTGCCACCTTCCTTGGTTGAAAGTCAATTGCTTCAAGTTTTGTGTGATTTAGACAGTTTCACAAACTTTACCAAATACCTTGACCTTTTTGAACACATGCAGCCAAAATAAACACAATACATTATGCATAAGTAACAAACAGTATTTTTTTCAGCAGAAGCAGTGTGACTACAAAATAATAGTCCGCACAAACATTTATTAAAGGGTGAGAGGATTCTTACAATTGGGAACTATGCAAGGAAGAAACGTTAACTTGTCGTGGTCAGAAATACGAGTTTGTTTCCAACCTGGATCACACTCGCATTCGTAAAGAGAGCTATTGCCAGAAGACTTGCAAGTACCTTTTCCACATCGAACTTCTTTGCAAATATCCTCTGATAATCATCAATTCACGTTTAGAACGGAACAGAATGAGAAGATTCTTCAGATTAAGTTGTATATCATATGAAATGAGAAGATTCTTCAGATTAAGTTATATATCATATGAAATGAGAGACAAGAAAATAACTCAACAGGGTAAAAAGTCGAGAAATCTCAAACCCAGAAATTAAAATCGACAGAGAATTCCAATAAGAAAGTCCATAAAAACAGATCATATAAATCAAGATTCAAAAGATAGACAATGAAACAACAAGAGAGAAAGACAGTGAGGGAAAGAGTCACAAACCGGCTATGGGAGAGAACAGAGGAGGCAAGAAATCATTGGAAGCAGTCAGAGGTTGTAGAAGAAGAAGAAATAACAGAGAAGCAACGACACTTGGAATTGCAAAGGCCATCTCTAACTCACACCAAAGGAGAAAAGATGTTTAAGATTGGGAATATTTAAAAAGTACTATTTAAATTGACTTGCGGGAAGTTTCAAAAAAAAGGGGACTCTGAGAATCAAGGAATCAATGAATCCGAAATTATGGTGAAGCGCGGCTCAGCAAGAAAAAGGGTAATGGGCACAGTGCGGTCGTTGGAAGTTGGAGTCTTGACCGCAATCTGAACCAATTTGATCTGACCAGTCATGCTCACCCACGTAATAACAGAATTAAACTACCAAGTTTGATCTTAAAAGTTACTCCAACACATTACTCTTCTGCCTCTCTTTACTATTTCAGGCTCAGTTCCTTTTTTAGCCCGATTCCAAACCAATAAATAATTTGATTGTAATTAATATTCAAATCAACCCCATGAATTGTCATAAAGAAGTAAGATAGAGTTTGATCATCACCTTACTTGCCCCCGGCCAGCCAGCCAATATTAGCCGCTGGAACCAACCGAGGGCGGTCCTATGCCTACCCAATTATCCATCCCATGTGGAAAGTTTTTCTTGGACAGTATGTATCCCATGTGTGAACGTTGACAAACACGGTTGATTGCGTTATTTCGTCGAACACGTAGAGTCCCATCCCATGAAACACGAAGTGCAGATTCCCATAGTGGGACGCTGTTTTCCTTTGTATATATCAGAAAGTCGTTAGGCAAGAGGGAATGATCTTGGGCGCCGCCCCTACCTGAGTTAATGAACCTGACGAACGAGGATTAGGGTAGAAATCCATAATCTCCATTTTTAGCCACATCTCACCATAATCACCATTATCCTTTTTTCTTTTCTTTCGACGTCAGTGACACAATAACGACACTTCACATGACTTCATGGGCTTTTGAAACCAAACTTGTTGAAAAGTCAATTGGAAGCATTTCAGTTTCTGCATTATTCCCATTCGATAATCGCCCTATATCCGACGGAGCCTGCTAGATTCAGAGACTTGATTCAACTGTCATTCTCTCCGGCTTTAATTTTCATTGCCCACTCAATTTGACATTTTGTGATATTTCATGATGTTGTTTTGGATAAACTTTTTTTTTATTTAAAATTTATAAATTTGTCGTAACTTTTTCTTTGGTTCTATTTTTTTTATATTGCTTTCCCTCTCCAATATAAGACTTAATTAATTAATTTTAAAAAATTAAATTAAATTAATTAATTATAATAGATAAGTTTTATTTTTTTCCCGAATATATTTGCTAATTAAGTGTATTAGTTTGAACTATGAAACATTTAATAAATGAAACTATTACAAGGACTATTTTGAAAAAATAAAAAAATATAAAAGATAAAGTAGATTAAAATCTTATATTTAAAATTAAATTAAATATTAAATTAGCTTTTATATCAAGGATCAAAGATAATATATAATATCAAATCCAGGTCAATATAATACTCCCTTCAGTCTCCTAACAAATGGGTTTATTTTAGTGTTAAATGGAACATTTCAGTTATTTTATCTTTTGAATTTATAATTTTTTTTTCTTACATTCTCTTATACATATTAGGGTCTTTTTATTCAGGTAATTTCAAATACAAATAATTAAAAACAGTATTCTACAAAAATGGTCACATATTTTTTTATAAATAAATAACTTAACTAATTTTCATGGTCTTTGTAAATTAGTTATTAAATTCCTGTATTTAAGAGTGGAGTGAGTAGATTTTCATTTCATTGGCAAAAAAATTATAGATATTTGCAATTTATATATCCTGCTATTACATTTTTAAAATATTATTAATATACTTAACTTTACATTATTTTGACATTTTGAAGTCTGTAGAGTTTACACTAACAAAACAATAAAAGGATATTAAGTCAAATTTATATTAAAATATCAAGTCACTATACATAAACGAAAACACATAAGGTTTATTACTGCCCTTGTGAGGACATTAACTATTGTTTTAGAACGCGTAGTGTGTTATTTCAACTTAAGATTTATTATTTCATTTTTTGAAAATTTCAGTATTATTATTGTTATAATTATTATTATTATAAATCTTTTGGATCCACCTTACGAAATGATGGGCCGAAACTGGTTTACGTGGCCTGATGACTGATAATGAATACTGATAACCAACAAGGGGAAGGGACTAGTCTCCATAACGTCGTGAATTAAGATTCGAATCCTCGTTGAAGAGATGTTCACATTTAATGTCTGACAGTGTCTTGAATAAGATTGCTTCCAACAGGAGGATACCTATGTTTTAGCCAAAAAAAAAATAGTGATAGACCTAGGCTCGTTTAATTTGATGTTTTTCTTGGGACTGAAAATTTGATATCATATTTTTTATTTTTTAATTATAGTTTTTTAAAGTCAATTTTAAAATATAATTTTATTATTGAATTATGGATAACGTGTTTTTTTATCTTGAAAGTATTTCCGACAGAACTATGGGCACTATAAAATTTTTTTGAGCAACAATACATATAATTTTTAAAGAGACAATTAATCTTTTAGTTCCTATGATTGTGATTCAATTGCATAAGTGGGGACAAAGTTGTATCAAGTTAATTTTAGGAACTGTGTTACAATGAAGTCAATTAGCAAACATTGTCATTTTTTCCTAACAATCAACATCAAATTAATTTTTGGAGAAATATTTTTCAACTCTGCATTAATGGTTAACTTAATAAATGCGACGTTACACCCGTTGAAAACATAACACCATAACGGAGGTTTTGATTGTTATTAGTATTGGCCAATCAAACACGGAGGTATTTAAAAGCCTTAATTTTTTAATCATTTCTAAATAGATACTCCCTCCGTACCATATCGCAAAATTTAAATTTGGTTTGATAAGATTAGCAGTGTCTGAACATTAAATATGTTTTTATAAATTTTATTCCTAATTAATTTTTTATCATCTCTCATCATCTTTTGTCATACTACATTCTTTTTCATCCTGTATCTCATCATCAATATTTTTCTCTCTTATTTGCTTCTCTATTAAATAGGAAAAACAAGGTTCAATTTTTACATATTTACTCTTTTAAACTAATTTTAACTATTTTTTAAATTGTACAATTTAGTTATAAAGATTTTATAAAAAGAACCAATGGGAGTATATGTTTAAAGAATCTTCATATGTAGCCAAAAAAAAAAACTAGCAATTAATTCACACTTATCAATAAAAACAGTTAAAAATATTAAATTTATTATAAAATTCAAATAATTTGCAACATTATCTTTATTAACTACATTAAACTCTAACACTATACTCCTTTCGTTCCTTATTATAAGAGACATTTGATGATTATGGCATGTTCTTATATATAAGAGACACTTAAAAGTTATCTCTACTTTTTTGTGTTGATTTCTTATTTTATCCATATTTATTGTCTCCAACTCACACTCTCTCTCCATTCCCCTTCTCTTTCTTTCAATAATTTAATTGTTCTCTCTCATACTCTCTCTCCTTATTAATACGGGCATTTTTGGAAAAGAAATTATATTTTTTACACATTAATTGTTCTTAACTAATTTTAACTGCTTTTTTAATCAATATAATTCGGTTATTCGTCTCTTATAATAAAGAACGGAAGAAGTATTAATTTATACTAATTCTCATTACTCTTATTAAATGTAGACATATCTGAAAAAAATATTTAATGTTCATTGAAACTATCAAAGGACTTTTGTGAAAAATACTAAAACTACTTCCTAAAAAGTGTCTTATAATAAGAACAGTAGAGAAAATAAGCTTTATTTCTAATTTTCTATTAACAATATGAATTTTCCCGGGCAAAATGTAATCATCACGGAGTGAAGTCAAAATGGCACGTTGACCAACATATAATTACTATATCTATATTTCATAACAAAAAGACCAAGATACAACACGAGGGAGTAAGATGAATGAATCATTTCATTCATTAGCCAAAAAATGCTATAAAAAACAAATAATATGCTATGAGTAATACAATCATTATTTACATAATTAAATTTGGAATTTAAGAGAGGCAACAAGGGATTTCAATCATACAGTGGCAATCTGACATAGATTTATAAACAAAAATTAGAATACTGTGAAATGAACTCTCACAAGAATGACAACTAGCCTTTTATAAAATTACATAATTGTGCCAGTTTCACTTTGTGTGCTTTTTCCTACCCATACGAAAGTTTGGCAAAAATCTTGCTATATAATATGGGAAACCAAAGAATCTAACAAAATTTTGACAATCTTTCTTCCCTTCCGATTTATCTGCCTGTGAACTGAGGTGGCTCAAATAAGTTTTCCCCTCATATACGTAAGAAAGTTGCTGCCACAGAAGAACGCTCAATCCTATTTGCACGGAAAAGCTCGAAAAAAACAGATAGACAAGAACAAGTCCCCTTGTGGGTAGAAGCAGAACAGATCTGAGGAGAGCAGAAATAATTTCATTCATGGCTCTCCAAACCATATCTCTTCTAGTAATCCCTTTGAGGCCCCCAAGGGAGGAGTATTTCACAGATGGCCATATGAGAAAGCTTGCATATGCAGACATGATTGAAACATATAGGGTACTGACCACAGCCGAAATAAGGAAGGCAATGAAGTCACGGTGATTAGCTGCGCCAACACAGTTCCCAATCTGCGAAAGGTTACAAAACCAATTACCAATAAAGCTTTCAGATTCCTCCTCATAAAGAAAATTTGCAGCCTGGCCATGGTGTTATTGATAATAGAATGAATACCAAAAGCATCCACTTCGTCAGAGTTGACAGGCAATGGCAATCAAACACCATCTTTCATATAAGTACAGAACTATCTTCAGCTGTGTGGGACACGCAGAACAACACTTACACGACATGTTGATAACAAATGCATCCAACAAGCTTATGGACATGCCAGAAAAAAATATTATACTTTCAGCGAGAGCACAGTTTGGACACGACTGATTCCATATCCAGGAGAAAAATCAAGAAAAAAGATAGTTATAGACATGAAACCCCACCAAGATTACATTATTAAAATTCTTTTCTAATGTTCTTCATTGTACATTTGAATAATACAATTTAATATCTCTATTTTAGTACATTTCATTATACAAATTAAAGGGTGGGGTACATTAAACATATTAAAATGCTGATTTGGCTTTCTCTTTGAATACACACGTATACACACTAATTAGTGGCATGTGAGAAACTGTCGCATGAGCATGCTTCACTGAATAAAAAAGGTCGCCTACACACTACAAGCGGGGAACAAATCCCACCACGATCTGTAAGTAGTCCATCAAGAACAGTTCTCACCCCTTCAATTGTGGATAGAAGCAGAACTATTCCCACCTTTCCTTACTTCTTTATATTACTAGAATCAGCCCTTTTAATTTTTATCCCAAAATGTCAGCCTGGACAATCGCTGTCTGTTAACTGAAATGAGTGAAAAATTACCCTTTGTTGACATACACTACATAAAGAAACACTATTTCTAGCAAATAAAACAAAAAGCGATTCTCGTGATTGTCTTAAGTATTTCAAAATTTACGAAAATTCAAGTTTGTTATGATGGAAAAGATGTCATTCCAGAAAAGAGCATGCAAATAGTATTTGGAAGTCTAGAGAACTTGAGGCTGTTGTGTATGGAAGTTTAGAGAACAAAATTTTTTTGCAGAATCCTTTATTGGAAGATCATTAACAGAAAGATTGGGAGCTGAAATTTGATAGCTGATTAAATGAGGTTTCTGTTGAATTCTTGTGAACCAATTCTTTTCTTCTTATTCTTCTCTAATATAAGTACCGTTTACCTAGCAATAAAACACCCCAAAATCATTCTCTTTGCTTTCTGAAATCAGGACTCTGACAAAACCATATTCTTGCTTATCAAAACCACTAGTTCTCGAATGTCTTCGACTCCCTTAATTCACACCTTAGTACTCAAAAAATCCTTGTTCTGCTGAGTCCTAAATTCGGCAGGTAAATACTCCAATAACAGTTATCCTTCCCGTATTCAAAACTCCAAACTCATAATAGAACCCCAAGTCTATTGCTTGCACACTTCCCCTTTGTCACTGCAAATGCCTACCAAAAGTGACAACACGAAGATGCCAAAGTCACTGCTACATGTTATGTAATCATTCATTTGTTTTTTACATAAGATTTCATTCATTTCTTACAAAGGCAGTTGGTGTATCATATGTTTTCATCATTGAAAGATAGGCCCAACAAACTGAGGGGGGGAAAAAAATAGAAGAACAGATATAACTCAAGATTATACAGAAGGCTTCCAGTATACAACAAAATTCCAACTGAAGTAACATTTAATTCTAATAATCTATTTGACAGGTTAAACTAAACAACATATTAATAGGTCAAAAGTTGTATGGTCAAAGATGCCACACATGGTGTATATCATTGTCCAGAAGATTTCAGGGAATGTGCCACAGATTATGAAATTTCAACATTCAAGAAATGATGAAAACTTACAAAGGGACAGTGATGATCCATGTCCACAATACACTTTTCACAAGAACGGCAATGATGAGTTCCAGGTGCCTTTGGTTTTGAGCAGTAGTGACAGAAAGTGTAGTTTTCAAGGTCCCCTTTCCCAACAGTAGGGTAGCTTCCCCACAATATATTTGGGGGTGTGCCTGCACACTTAAATGCCGCCAGGCTGAAAAAGGAAATCGTGGATATGGACAAGATTGCTGTTATAATGCAGTGAGTAATCCCAGAAAGACTGAATGTAAGGAGAAAGGGATACACTGCCCACACTCCTCCAACTGCATCAGAAAACAAAAGAACGTTATAATAAGTACAGAATAGTTCTCTCAACAGTTCATTTTTGAGAGCAAGTGTTGAAAGTATTCATTTTGTTAATATAAAATACTTATCTCCATCTAGAGTGGATAACAGAAAAGCATATTACTCAAGAACATCAGACACATTGTGGAGTGGACCATGAGATTGCCATATGAATATAAATAAGGAACATCCTATCTTTTAAGTTATTATTGCATCCTGACAGATGTATCTAATACAACAATAATGCCAATAAGCTGGTATACTTAAGCATCTATAGTTAGACATTCCGCCAGGAGACACACAGATAAGTTTAGCCACCAAAAACAAAGTGGTCAAATGCAAGGGTGGCATCAGAATTGGTTTAAACAAGAGAATAATGGCGTACTCACCAATCCCCGAGCCAAATCTTAATCAATGTTACCTAATTCATGATGTGTTGTGGTGCAGAGTATATCACTTTATATAATTACCAATACTAGGGATATGCTTCGTTGATACAATTTGGACCATTTAACCCACATACTTATGATATCATAATTCATATACCAATACACAATGTAAAATCTACAGGAAGCTCATTATTCATAAGTCATGAACGACTCACCTCACACTAGTACACTCTGCGTGAGCATAAAGCCCACTATCTAGTTATTTTAATACTTAAAGTAAGACATATCCCATACCCATTATGAATTAGGTAAGATACATCTAGCAGAGTACTTTTTCTTTTGCAAAAGCATTTGATCTTCTCCTGTACCTTCAAAACATCCCCTTTTCAACAGGTACTTTTAGACACATTCAACCAAATGAAATTAAAGGAAGCAAAACTAAATCATGGCTAGTCATAATAAATCATCTTTTATAACAATTTCCATCCAGTAGACTGACTAGGAACTGCAGGAAGTTAATAGTTTCCTATCAGGTGGCGCATTTGTTCACCCACTACTATTGGTCCATCAACAATTTGGTCAGAACAATTTGCTCTTTAATATAATTATCCTTGCAGCATTAATTGATCTCTAACAAGGAACCAACACCCATCTTAATTTTCTCAATATAACTTCTGAAAGGAAAGGAAAAATCATTCAACTGGACAAAAATTTAATGACAAGTTGTCAAGAACAAATGTGTATGAGCAATAAGAACAAAAAAATATTTTGGGGGGGTTGCGATGAATTTTGGGCGGAACCAAGGATGATTGGATGAATAAGAATTCTGATCAAACATGACAACAGATAACAGAAAGTAAAAGAAAAACTGCACCAGCATCAATAGTGGCTTACATATCACAAAGAGCATAAACAAGATGACAATAGGAAAAACACATCGATCACGAAGTCGTCTCCATTTAAAGCACTTGTTTTCATGTTTTGTTTGTTTTGATTTGTTATGGCCCCACACCAGGCACATTTGAAAACAGGTGTACAAGATGGAAGTAGTAGGCGCAGTCCACATCCCCAGCAAGTTGTCTCGTAATTGTCCGTAACCGCAGTCACATATTGCTCCTAAATTTGACTTTTATATGAGCAACCAAGGAAGCTACAAAATTTTCAAACTGTAAAAAATAGCAAGCAATAACATACATGAAGTTATCTATGTACTATAAAAGACTGAATCATAGTGGGCACAAAACAAACTACACAAGCATCCAAAACTATATTATTTTCCCCCTTTTTTATTTTGAAGAAATAGGAAGTGAAAGTTCATAAACAAAGCATGCATTGTGGGGGGAAAAAATCTTTTCCTTCCAACAATAATGCACAAACCACTAAGCAAAAACTCAATGTCTAAAAGCAATCATGATGAAATCTCAAGAGACAACTTCTCAGCAGATTTAGCTCTATTCACAATCCATTCTCCTTGTTGAGTAACTAAAAACAGAACTGTCCTTACCTAGATAGTGAAGTCCCAATTTTTAAGTTCACTGATAAACATGAAAGAGAAAGCCATGTCACTGTGGTGGCTACTAGGAATTTTGTCATGTAAGAAGCCACTGTAAGTTTATTTATAATATAACACAGAAAGTTATATAAACTTCGTTTATCCTTTATCTTTAAGAATAAAAAAAATTCTATTTATTCTGAATTTCTAGCTATCTTCATTTGACTTCGTTTCCACTGTAAATTACATGCTTTAACCGCGTACCTGCACAGGCACAAATGTCCAACTGCAATTTTACATGTACTATTCTACCCGTTAAAATGTAGCATTCCTATCCGAAAAGCATGTGAATATCAGCTTTCTGTTTCCTTGAGAAAAAAAGTAAAAATGAATACAATTGCTTTGGGTTGTACCATGGCACTGAACTAATTTCAAAACCCAAGTTTATTACTTGGATACAAAAAATTCCAAAAACCCCACATAAACACACTAAATTCGAAAAATTTATAACGGCAACCAAAGGATACCCATTCCCCAGAAGAAATTCTATAAACACTTAAATAAAAGCAAACACAGGGATGACAGGCGCATTACACTGCGAGAACATGCGAATCAGAGCTGGATAATGCAAGCAGGAAATATCATATATGGAGGAAATCGAATATAGAACAAAATTTTCAGTGAGCGAATAAAGAAGCTTGCCTCGGAGGATCTAATGGCTTCCGGCGTCCTCAATAAGTCATCGTTGGAGGTCCCTTCCACCATTTTCTCCTCCCTTTATTTCTATGTGTCTAAATCAGAATGCTATTTGCTTGTATTTCTTTTTCTTTTTTCTTCTGAGTGTTTCTGTGTTGATTAGTGGCTCAATGCTTTCCTGCCAATTCGCCAATCGGCAAGGAAAAACTAGGAGCAATTGTTTGTTGTTTGACCTCTGGAAATGGACTACGAGAGAGAGAAAACTGGAAATGGGTGAAGGGGACGGAGAGAGAGTGGACGCGAAGGAAAGACAAGCGAATGAGAAGGAAAACTCAAAGCCGGCCATATTGGGCCTCCTCTGTTTGTGGGGTCGCAACGCCGAGCCCAGACCTGGCCTTGTTGGTCCATATGTTAATCAGGCCCGCGTACTCTTCGGTGTTTTCGGTGCAAAATCCACTTTTCTCTATCATTGGGATATAAACTGTATTGTTGATAATTATAAATAATATTTTTTAAAAAGTTCATAAATGTTTTAATAGATACTCCTCCGGTTCTAATGTAAGGCCCTTATTATGTAGGACCGGAGGAATATTTTGATTATTGATTACAGGATTTATCCATGAAAAGAATGCCAAAAAAAAGAGGAAAATACAAAGTCTTGAAAATGTGGATAAGCATAATAAAATGAGAGTCAACAAAAATTGATCTAGGTGATAAGAAATCAGTTTATAACTTACAAAGTTATGAATTCAAATTGCAGGTTGGGTTGAGAAAAAATAATACCAAAATATGTAAAATGGTTAACTCATCTTATATTCCAATCCATATGGTTGGGCTTTGCTCATGAACGTCTCAAAAAAAAAAAAAAAAAAAGAAATAAAGAAAACTATGGGTACCTTAAGAATGGTTTTCTTTTTCTCATTTGGTCATCCACGGACCATGACAGCCTGAGGAGTGTCTTTAACCTTCCTTTTTTTTTTTTTTTGGTTTTCTGGTCATTCTGACCGTTGACTGGTGGCCGATCCTGCAGAATCTTGCATTGACCTGAATCTCCCATAGTACCAAGAGAAAAATCACGTATCGCAATGGACAGAAAAGTCCATCCAACTCACAGCCTTCACGATTATTTCCACTATGAATAAGACATCGAAAATTCTAGTTTGGCCACTGGTGAAAAAACAAGTCAAACTCATTAAGTAGTCTTCGTGCCTCTGGAAAATTGGCCTCGTGCGGATGCTGCATGCCATGTGCCCATGCAGCAAGTAGAACTGAGCATGATTTTGAAATTAAAAAATGATCTTGTTGAAATAAAAAAGTGCATTAATATATGTGTGAAAAGTCACCAACATCGACTGTATTATAATTTGTTTAAATGGTTTTACTTTTATACTCCTGTGTGTTTGTAAAAGATTTTTAAATTCGGATTTTATTGCTAAGTAAACGTTGCGTCTCTCAAGTCTCAATTGTTTTTTTTTCC